AACAATGAGAACACATGGACACAGGGAGGGGAATATCACACACCAGAGCCTGTCATGGGGTGGAGGGCTAGGAGGGGGATAGCAGGGGTTGGGGGACTAGGGGAGGGATAGCGTTAGGAGAAATACCTAATGTAGATGATGGGGTGATGGATGCAGCAAACCACCATGGCACATATATACCTATGTAACAAACCTGCACATTCTGCACATGTATCCCAGAACTTAAAGTATAATAATAATAATAAATTTAAAAAGAAATTTCAAGGCCAGGAGCAGTGGCTCACACCTGTAATCCCAGGAATTTTGGAGGCTGAGGCAGGCAGATCACTTGAGGTCAGGAGTTTGAGACCAACCTGGCCAACATGGTAAAATTCTGTCTCTACTAAAAATAAAAAAATTAGCCAGGTGTGGTGGCAGGTACCTGTAATCCCAGCTACTTGGAAGGCTGAGGCAGAAGAATCTCTTGAACCTGGGAGGGAGAGATTGCAGAGAGCTGAGATTGTGCCATTGCACTCTAGCCTGGGTAATGTCTCAAAACAAACAAACAAAAAACATTTAATTATATTTAGAAGGCACTCTAATCCCCTTTGAATGCCTAAATTCCACCATTAAAGCAATAGAAACCGTTTTCATATCTCCTTTTTTGTTTCTCCTATATTTAAAGTCAAGACTGAAAAACACCTTAGCACTTTATCCAAATTTTACAGATGGCATGGAGGCTCAGAGAAGGCAAGCTACTTTCTCCATATCACACAGCCACCCAGTGGCAGAACCAAGACCCCAATCCAGGTTATAATAGATTGTAGTATTGTTCAAAATATTTGCTGCCCCTCCAAAGAGGAAGCTTACACAACTCCTACAGGAATAGGCTTGGTCCTTGTGCCTTGTGGTGGCCCTCCCTGTGGAGTAGGGCATATGCCACCACCACTACCCACACTGTAGAACCCAGGAGTGGCCAGGTGATCTATTTTGCTCATGAAATGTGGGTGAAGGCAGCAAGTATCACTTCTGGTTGCCATGTCTGACTGTCCTCTACCACAAAATGTAATGTTCCTGGCAGAGACTGCTCTGTTCTGCTGGGTCGCAGAGTGAAGAGGATAAGCACACCTGTGATGGACGTATCACATGAGCAAGAAATAAGCCAGTGAGGTCTGGGGGCTTTTGTTACTGCAGCATAACTGAGTCCGCCCTGACCAGTCCTCAGGCTTTACATCCCAGGCACTGCTCTTTCTCACTGGGATGGACTTTCCAGCAGTGAGATGGACTTTCCAGTTGTATGGAATGGACTTTCCAGTTGTATGGAATTTAACAGCACATATTTTATTTTTATTTTATTTATTTCTGTAATGATAAGATCTCACTGTGCTGCCCAGGCTGGTCTCATTCTCTCCTGGAGGAGCACACTTTTTAGAGTCAACCTGCTTGGATTTAAATCTCACCAGCGGCTGACCTTGGTCAAGTTACTTTCTCAGTGTCTCAGCTTCCTCATCAGTAAATACAAGGATAACGCTCTTACTGTGTCAGTCTATTCAGGTTGATGTAACAAAATATCTCAGACTTGGTAATTTATACACAACAGAAATTTATTGCTCACAGTTTTGGAGGCTGGGAAGTCCATGGTCAAGGTGTAATATTGGGGTTCAGGGATTCAGGGTGCCCTCAGCTCCCCTGAGAGAACATTTCTCCAGGTTCTTGTTCTCCTGCCCTCTCAAGAATGAGAGAGGGGACCACGGCGCCATGCGCAGTAAATGCCCGACTCAAAAGTGTTTGTAGAAAGTGGTTTGTTTAGAGAGAGAGAGAAACAGGAGGAGGAGAAAGAAACAGCTAACTCTCACTCTGAGTGAGAGAATCCAGAAAGATGGAATCCAGGAGAGGAAAGCAGCTTCCACCCTGAGTGGAAGGGAATAGAGACGGAATTTAGGAGAGGAAGACAGGCTTCCACAAAGGGAGCGTGGAAGGGGAGCCAAACACGGAGTCCGAAGGGGTGTGGAAGAAGGGTACTTTTAACCTGGGAGGAACCCCCACCTTCTCTAAAACCCCGGGCCAATGAAAGGAGTTCCTTAGAACTTCCGCTGGAGTGATTGACTCTTAGTTTCTTCCTGCACCCATGAAATTCAAACATAAATCGTTAAATCTCCTGGATGGAGAGAGATGGGAGGGGGGCATGGTGCTAGGAAGTTCTTGCCCTTAAAACTATGCCCCCTTGTGGACCAGGAAAAAGAGAACACATTCCCTCAAAGGTGCCAACGATTTGGTGTTGGGTGAGAGCCCGATCCCCATAGATGATGCCTCCTATGTCTCCCCACATGGAGGAAGGGGTGAACAAGCCTCCCAAGCCTCTTTTATGACAGCAATCCTATTCATAAGGGCTCCACCCTCATCACTTAATTAACCACCTCCTAAAGGCCCTACCACAATGCTATCACATCGAGGATTATGTTTCCACATGTGGATTTTGGGGGGACACATATGTTCAGATCATAGCAGGTACCTACCCCACAGGGACATGGTGAGGATTTAATGACCTAAGTCTGTGCTTCGAGGAATTTGGCTAAAGGGCTACTATTATTCCACATAGTCTTCCCTTAGCTGACATGCCAGTGACAGTGAGGGGTTGGGGTGGGAGAGGGTTTGCTGAGATGGTGTCGTGTCTTGTACATGCAAACAGCCACACCCTCAGAAATCACTCTCCCCCATGGGTGATGCTGATGACCATCACTGTCCCTGCAACAGGCCAAGGGGAAAGGACAGGAGGGGTTCTGTTGTGAAGAATGGGAGCAGGGCCCGTGGAGTCAGATTGGTTAGGGTTCAAGTCCTAGCTCTGTCTCTTCTTCCCTGGGCATCTGTGGATAAAGTCACAAACCTCAGTGAGCCTCCACTCCCATCTTACGGGGTGAGGTGAGAATTCAGTGAAATAATTCACGGAAAAAAACGCTTGTCACAGGGCCTGGCACACCACAAGTTCCAGTGGACATCAGGATCAATGTCAGTTTCTTCTTTTGCCAGAGTAAACCAAAGCAAGTGTGGGCAGAACAGGAGTCATAGGAGGTGATTCTTCTCTCAAGGCATCTGAAGGAACATCAGGGATCACCGTAGCCTATCCCCTGTCCTCATGGAAACATCATCTCTTGAAATCACAGACTGATTGTCTGGGCTCGTGTTGAGTTGGTAGAAAATAAAGCATCCCTCCCTGACAGCTGGTATGGATTGCACAGCTGGTATGGATTGCACAACTGGTATGGACTCCCACGGCCAGCACAGACTGTCAAGTCTGCTTGCCATATTGGGGAAGTTATTGGATGTCCATAAAGGTGATGCCTACACCCAGCTGGGAGCAGCTGCTCAGGACCCTGTGGATGTGGGTTTACTGATCTCAGATTACGGTCACATGCCATGGGGGAAAGCTTAGATCAGGCAAAGATACACTGTGTCCCTTCACAGAGAGATCCACACTTGGCCTGGGGCTGCCCACGGAAGGAATCCCCTGGCTCACATCCTTCTCAGCCACATGTCTTAGTGCACCCTCTGCTGAGGACAGGATCCATCACTGCCAAGCTGCTGGGCCAGGGCTTTCACACACTTGGCAACCTGTAAGCTCTACCTGAGGTCAGGTGTGCTCGCTTCCCCACTGGTTGGGTAGGCCCCTGCCCAGGCCTGACCAGAGGAGAGCTGGAGAATAATCGGTCGGAGGTGAACTTCACATGCCCAGCCCTTGAATTGCTGGCTGTGGGCTTGTTGGCCAGAAGTCCAGATTGAGCTCTTAAAGAGCACACACACCTGAGGTGGTGTCCGCCAGGGTCCACGGCTGTGTTTGAGTGAGTTCATCAGAGGCTGTCATTCACAGCTGCCACAAGTGTTTCCTGAGTGCTCCCAGGTGCCAGGCACTGCTTCTTCCACATCTGGGGGGCAAGTACGTGACCAACACTCAGAAAGGGAGTGGGGTGGAGGGCATCATCTGGAAGCTTTGCTGACCACACTGCCCTGAGCTGTATTTAGAGCTTAGCCTGGGGCCTCAAAAGCAGGCTCAGGAAACCGCATGGGGCCTTCATTCCTGACAAATGAGAAACAGCCAGAACTGCCGCATGCCCCTTGGTGACTGCTGCACAAGAGCTTGCCAGATAGTCTATATATTTTTTTCTCAAACGTCATCATGAATTAGCAGCGCTCACTCCTGGGGCTGCTAGGAATACGTCTTTACTGCTTCCATCAGAACCAGCCTTGAGGTTAGAGAAAAAGCCGTCTATTTGGTAAGCAACTGTGAGGGTTCATGACCGAGTCAAGAGAGAAGGCAATGAGGGCCTAGGAGAGGACACAGCACCGAAATCAGAATCTCTTCAGTGAAATCATTGCAAGGCAACACTTCAGGGTAATTTCCTACTGTGCTTCAATGACCAATAAAGAAGATATTAAAATGTCATTTATAGAGAAACTCCAGCATTTTGTTTTCCTGGTTATTCTAACAGATCAATTGAAACATATAATAGGATTAAAAAAAAATTTTTTTTGGCCAAGCATTGTGATCAGTCTTTCACACTACAGATCTGTGTGCTTAGCTGCTTGTCACCCGGTCAAGACGGAAGTGAGTGGGCTTAAATGGGATGAAAATTCTGCTCTTTTTCCTTCTGATAATAGGCAAAAAAAAAAAAAAAGTTACAAACTCCATCTTAAGGCATGTTCCCTTTCTGTTTATTGTGACTGGCTTCTAATTGAAAGTTACAATATTTTCATTCTCAGGCACTGGGGTGGTTTCGGTGAAAACACATGAGGGACCCTTGGGGTTTAGGGAGGTTAAGGGCAGTTTGTTAATTCATTAGCTTTGTCTGCCTCCGTTCACCACCCAGAACCAACCCGAGGCCAACAAGTGGGGTGAGGTGGCACAGGCTGAGTAGGGCAGTGGGGACAACTTTGGCCCCAGCTCACTCCGTGGGTGGGAGGGGCTGGAGACCAGGGTTTCAGTGGGAACAGCCCCTCCTCCTGAAGACCCCTCCTACTCATCTCACAAAGCCTCTTCCTCCTGTAGAATCTGCCGCCAGTACAACTGCAATATCTTCTGCTGCTAGTAACATCGCAAATGCAGAATCTGGCTTCTCTGTAAGGATTTTAGGCTTGTCAAACTCAATCACCTAACAGTAAGAGAAGAAGAACTGAAATCATTGGAAAATATCTACCCACTGTCAAGCTCGAACCACTGAACTTTCCGGGGAAGTGAAGCCAAAAGGGCTTCCTGTACCTTCCCATTTTCCAGGATGTGATCACAGTTGAGAACCGAGTTGAGGCAGTGGGTGATGGTCAGCACCCTGCAGGCTTTGAAGGCATCTTTGATGGTGTTCTGAGCCAGGGTGTCAGTCTTGGAGTCCATGGAGGTGGTGGCTTCTTCATCAAGGAGAATGGTCTGTCGAGGAGGGAACATTGTATAGGTCACACTAAGCCAAAGGCACACTGACGGGAAAATTTATAGCCTTGGCTCTATTTACATAAAAAAAAAAAGAAGAAGAAAAAGAAGACCACAAAATGAAAAGTAATTAGCTAAACATCCATCTCAAAAAAATAAGAAAATGAAGATTGAAATAAAAGTCACATCACATCACTTCCATCTTCCTGGAGGAACTTGCTAGAGGGAAAAGCATGTATATCCTTTACTCCTCTTTTTAAGTGGTTTATTCTAACCCTACAAACTGTAGGGAGACACTGCACAGGCTTTATCTACCATGCTAACCTGAGTTGGCATGAAGTACAACAGCAGTTACATTCATTCCCTATGTTGCTGCCATACCAAATGATCGCAAACGTAGAGATGCAACCTAAATTTATCTTCTAGTTCCAGAAGTCAGAAATCCTAATATCAAGGTATTGTCAGGGCTGCATTCTTTCTACTTCCTTGCCCTCTCCAATTTCTGGGCCACTTGCATTCCTTGGCCCACAGCACCTCCTGGGATCACAGCTCCTTCTCCGCCTTTGACTCTTCTGCTTCCTCCTGGGAACGACCCATGTGAATATGCTAGGTCCACCCAGATCTAGAATCATCTCCCGATCTCATGATCCTATCTCATGATAGTAAGTTAATATATTAAAAGGCTTGGAGGAACATATTCACAAGTTCCAAAAATCAGGACATTAACATCTTTGGGGCAGATTTGATTTAGCAAATCAGAGCATTTGAACTTAACCCTGACTCTGTTTGACCAGCTAAGTTACTTAATTTCCCCAAGCCTCTGTTCCCTCGGAGGTGAAAGGGGTCTATGCCTTATTGATCAGCTGGAAATGGAGACAACACTTTAACCACCTAGCAGTGTGCAGTGCCGTGGCAGGCATTGGATCCATGCCGGTCCCTCTCCCTTGACATTAGTGCATCTAGAGAATACACACAATGGGTCACACCTTTGATGAGGCTTCAGAGAACGAAATTACTAGAGCAACAGCAATCCGTTCCCCGAAATCAGTGAGGAAAGGCAGCTAAGGCACAAAGAAAAATATGTGTAAATTCTACAGTTCGCATATCCCAGCATTCTGACGGCCCTCTTGAGCATCCTGTGGACAGTGTATCCAGATTCAGTATTGTTCAGAGACAATGAGAGAAAGTTAAGAGACAGATTCTTCAAACTCAAACCACTTACGCGAGCAGAGTGAAAACCTAAGCGAGACCTCCCCAGGGGAGGCCCGGGAGAGGAAGGTGCTCTTGCTGTAAATGGCTGTTGCTTTTCAATTTTTAACCTCTGACAATTTGTCTTAAGAAAAAGTGATCGGTTTTTAAATGACTCAATTGCTCTCTCTTTGCTGAAAGGCAAACACATGGCGCTACTTCCTGGATTGAGTGGCGCTGCAGGAAATATCCAAAATTTGACCAATCCATTTCCCGTGTTTTCTTACCTTTGAATTCAGAAGAAGAGCTCAGGCCACACAAAGCAGCCGACATTCCCCTACTGAGAAGTTTTCTCTATTTTCTGCGACTTCTGCCTATCATTTTTCTGGGAGTTTCATTATCTACAAAACACAGAAAATGCCACATTTGTACTGATGATCTATAAAATTGTCCTACCCTGCCTGTATTGATTGCCCCCTTCTCTTGCATTCATCTGCTTGCTTTATTTTACTGTGGCAAAGAAAGTGCAAAACAACAATCATTTCAATATTGCAAACAGGCACCAGGGAAAGACCAGTGAGTAGGCGGACATTAATAATTTAAAATCACAATATGACTCATAGAACCCCATAGACAATTCACCAAAAGAACAAACGATGCACATGCAGTTCCAGAGAGCACAAAAACAAGTGGAAACGGCTTCCTGGATTGCCATTTCCATGGACAAAACAGAGATGGGATGGAAAGTTTTCTGGACATTAAGGAAGGGTAAGACGGAGTCTGACTTATCCAGAGCGACAAGCCAAAATGGCCTTGGAAGATGCTCACATTGGTACCAAGTCCTGGAAAAATATCCCTCTGGGCTGCAGAGGTGGCCATGTTCACCTGTTGACCCCAGCTGGGGCTGTAGCTCTCCTAGGACAGGCTCCCCTCTCACAGGTGGTTCAGTCCTCTCCAACCAGCCATACTTGCCATTCCCAGAATATTTCACACCCTCCCGTTTTCTGTGGGTTGCCTGCTCTGATAAGCAAAGGAGGCCATTGGCAAAAGAGCAGGGGCCTTCCATCTGCTCTAGAATCAGACAGGCTTGAGTTCAAGTCTCCATCCTGCTGCTCACTAGCCTGGGCATATTACTTCTCTGAGCTTTAATTTCTTCATCTCTAAAATTAGGAGTGAGCGTGAGTACCCACCTGAGCATTGTAGAAGGATTAAGTGAGATAATACGTGTAGCCCTCTCGACCGGATCATTGTAGAGCCCTATTGTTGCTTTTAATAGGAAAGAGTAACTAAGGATTATGTTCTACCGACTTCTATGGTATCCACACATAAACCCAGCCAAGTGCTGGCCTCGGTGCTTGTCAAATTTAAACCTAGGCCAGGAATCCAGGGCAGCGGTGCTGGGAAACAAACTCCTCAACAGCCCTGGAGACCTGCTGTGTGTCTCATGAACAATCTCTCCAGAACCTGCCAGAGCATCTCGGTGTGACTCTCAAAGGGATCCAAGTTGGACCTACAATGAAGGAGAAGAGAGGAGAGGGAGTCAGATTTCCAAGGACGAGGGGATGGGTGGGGAGTAGGTTTTCTGCAACACGTGGAAGAGGGTAGGAGGTGGCATGTGATAACTCGTACTCTAAGAATAGTGCTCAGTCCAGGACAATAGTCCATAAAATATGGACCTCAGGCCACAAGACCAGGGGCCCACAACTCTGCAATAGAGCAGAGACCACGAAGGCAGGCAACGACAGGTGGAACCCCGCTGAAGGGCAGCACTGAGCAATGTGCGCAGAAAGACACACCTGGGTCTCTCAGCAGCCCTGAGTAGCAGAGCGGGTTTGAACTGATATCAATTCTTGGCAGAGAGAGGAGGGAGAGTTAGCAACCCAAATCTGCCACTCCAGGCATCGACAACTCCAGGGCCTCACAGGGTGCTGAGCAGCTCAAACGTAGAATGTAAGTCTACTGTTTCAAGAGGCAGAATGCATTTTTCAAACAATGAACTCTAAATACAGTAAATACAGTTCTCCTACTTCATCTGGTGCTCTACGGGAGAAATGTCCTTCTCGTCACCCCCCACTGCACTAGCTAACAGAAAAACTGGCTTTCCCCTTGTGCCTTGATATCAGATCTGGAGCCCCACGGAAGTTGCAGCCCTGCTGTTCTTGCGCTTGAAATAGCTTCTGTTCACTTAGTTGCAGAAATAAATGAATGCACTTCACAAAGGATAGTCATATACATGGGGTAACTGTTTATTTTACTGTGCAAGCTGGGGCACTTTTCAGAGTGCCCACCACTAAGCCTGATGGGATGCTGGGACACAGGCATAAACTCAGTCTGTCCAGAGCCACCGGGACATCTGCTCAGTGTATGAAAGAGTATAGAAGCGTCTTGTTCATTAACAATGTGTTTATAAAACACAAGTATGCTTAGAGCCCTGGGCCCTGACTCCTCCCAAGGGTGGATGCAGAAACAGGAACCAGCAGTGCTTGTGAGGCCTCTGGGATGCTGCTTCCCTCAGATAGAACAGCTCCAGGCCAGGCATGCCCTGGGTACATCGCAAAGTTCTTGATCAGTCTGATTTCACTCTCCAAAAATAGGAATGCACAGCGATCAAAAACAGCTACTTTGCGGTGCCTAAAAACACGACAGGATCCTGTGAGGTCACAGTCAGCTTGGTTCTGAGGTCCTCCACGCTGACAGTACAGATATCCACCTCATCAATGAAGACTGTGCCAGTGGCTGGCTCCACCAGATGAAACAAGGCCATTCCTAACAATGACTTCCCTGGGAACCATAAAAGCAGGAACAACAAATCAAACATCAGTTTGTGCTTCCATCATATCCAAGCATTTAATTAGTGGGATTTTTAATGCGATGCAAATGGCTCCATAAGGATGATGGTATAGACAGAAAGTGTCCTCACCAGGGCAGGGGTGGAGGGATGGGCTGCCCGGACAGTTAACTTGCCCATCCCTGCAGGGGCCCTTAGCACACAACTCCTCTCTGGGGCCCTGTTGTACTAGAATGATCGTCATTTAATTAATTCAAAACCTGATGTGTTTGCTTCCATCTCTACACACACATTCAACCTGAAGTCCTAATTTACAGTAAAGAGATTTGAGGGAAATAACAGCCAATCTGATATACATACACATCACTCTCTAGTGTGGCTTAACCAGGACATCCAGTGGAAATCCAAAGAAAACAAGCTGAAAGAAATAAAAGCAGAGCTTGTCCTCACTGGAACCTGTTCTTCCAACAATCCCGACTGTCTGCCCACTTTGTATGTTCAAGTTCAGGCTGTCAAGAACAAGGGGGTGTTGTCTCTGCATCTCATCTGATAGTCTTTAAATGTAATCTCCCCTCGCTGGGCCACTTCTTGGAACAGGCCTCCACTTTGAGGGGATAAGTGCATTCAGGAACACAGGTCTGAAAAGGTGAATAACCAGTGACCAGTGAAGAGCCATTTTTTTATTCATTTATTTAACTAATTCATTTGTTGATTCACAAGATTTCAGGTACTGTTATTTGTGGTGATGAAATAGGCCAATAATGGTCCTTAATCCAAGGAATTCACATTCCAGTGGGGATGTCAGATAATAAACAAGAAAAAATTTAAAAATAAAGACAATAAAACAGAGTATTGCAATAGGATACAGAATGTGATTTATGTGCTGGGCAAGGGGGAAAGGTGGAGTAAAAGTACTTGAGGTTTGAAGAAGGCACCCATGTGACATTGGACCTGAGCGCTGGAGGACACCAGATCCTGGGAGGATGCCATCTATGAGAGGATGAAGTCTGGAGCCCTCCAGGTTGGGGGTACAGCTAGTGCAAAGGCCCTGTGGCCAGAATGAGCTTGGGCAATTTGAGGAATGGAAAGAAAAGTCATGTAGCTGGAGGTTAGCTAATAGAGGGATGGATGACTTAGAGGACTACAGAAGGGAGAGCTCATACTGGGCCTGTGGGCTTGGGAAGGAAAATGTCAGAAGTGTAGCTTTGAAGCTATGTGACAAGGCCAGACAGAGCCTTGAGACTTGCGGAACTCAGCCAGATGTAATTTCAAGATCTGCAAGAATTATCAGCATGCTAGAAGTAGAAAGATGATAAGAATGCAAGATATCAAGTTCAGAGGTCTTTAGAGATACATGAAAAAAACATTTGTCTCCTAAGAGTCCAAGAAATGCAAGGTCTAATTAAGGAGTAGGGTAGCTTGGCTTCATTAAAAGACCGGCCTCTCCTCTTATGTCCATGTAAACAGCTGTAAATAGGGAGCCCGCATGGCCCATCAGGGTGGCCCACCAGCCCAAATCTCTACTCAAGAAGCAACCTCATTTAACTGAGAAAATAATTGTGTAGTTAAGAACTGAGTATTTTTAACCCCTAGAAGATTTAGAAATAAGAATAAAAATATTTAAGAAAAATGAAACTGTAACAGTAATATTTTTAGTTTAAGAAATCTGCATGCTTGGTATTTCAAGTATTCTCAATATTAATAGAATTTGGGCTTGTGATTCTAATTTAAAATGTATAATTGAATAATTGATTTAAACATGATTTTAAGTTAAAAGTTTATGAAATTAGTACTGACATGAGAACTTAAAGTTTACTATAAGTTTAATTTATTAGATTTGTACAGACTCAGCAAGGTTTGTTGTTAAATTAGATCATTGAGGTACTTAAAAAAGAAATCTAATGTATTAAATTTTAAAATGCAGTTTAAAATGTTTTAAAGTGTTTAATTAAGTTTGTAAATGGAGCTAAACACTCTTCAAAGGCACCTAAATGTCACTGCTAGAATTGGCTGGACTCCTTTTCAAAGAATGGCAAGACTTCTAAGTTGGATATCAAAGCTTTTAAAGAAGAATTAGACTGGGCTTCTGTATTTTTAACTTACAACTTTAATCAAATAAAAATTTTTAACTTAAAAAAAATTTAGAGCCAGGATCTAGCTCTGTTGCACAGACTGGAGCACAAGGGCATCGTCATAGCTTACTGCAGCCTCAAACTCCTGGGCTCAAGGGATACTCCCTCCCTCCTTAGCCTCCCGAGTAGCTAGGACTATCGATGCACATCACCACACATGGCAAATTTTAACTTCTTTTTTTTTTTTCTGTAGAGTCAAGGTCTCGCTATACTGCACAGGCTGGTCTCAAACTCCTGGCTTCAAGCAATCCTCCCAGCTTGGTCTCCAAAAGTGTTGAGATTATAGGCATGAGCCACTGTACCTGGCCGAATACTGATTTTTAGAAACCAAAATAAACCACTGAGTTGTATGTTTCTGTGTATCAAAACAGGCCTTAAGGAAACCTTGTTAAAAAGAATCTCACATTCAACATGAAGGACTTTACAATGTATTATAAATACAGGTTTTAAGAAGGGGGATGACTTGTCTGATTTTGGGTTTTGTTTTTGGTTTTTGAGATGGAGTTTTACTCTTGTCATCCAGGCTGGAGTACAGTGGTGCCATCTCTGCTCACTGCAACCTCCACCTCCGGGGTTCCAGTGATTTTCCTGCCTCAGCCTACAGAGTAGCTGGGATTACCAGCGCATGCCACCATGCCTGGCTAATTTTTGTATTTTTAGTAGAGACAGGGTTTCACCATGTTGGCCAGGCTGGTCTCAAACTGTTGACTTCAGGTGATCTGCCTACACCAGCCTCCCAAAGTGCTGGGATTACAGGCATGATCTACCACGCCTGGCCCAATTTGGGTTTTTTTAAAAAGACCCCTTTCACATCTAAAAAGATCCAATATTTGCCCAAGTCCTGCCAAAATTAACTTGTCCCTCCTCTTTGATGCATTAATTTCTTACCGAAATGTATCCCTGAGCAGCTCCATGGAGGTGAATTTGTCTAGGGTCTCTGTTCCTATTCGCATACACACTTGGAGCAGTCCATTCAGCTGTTGAAAAGGAGTGAGTAGATGCAGTTAGAGCCCCTTCCTCCATTGGGTTCTGCTGCTCCCTGCTCAGGAGGCAGCCTTGGTGAATGACCCCTCCCTTGCCTCACACAGCACAGGCACGTATAGGAGTCCTGCCTTCCTAGCCAAGCACCCAGAAGTAGAGCTATTCCTGTTGGGGTGTTTTGCCTTTAAACACTCCCTTAGTATTTAGAAACAAATGGTAATCACATTTTTCCCTGACACTCCAGATGGTGAAAATCATCTCCCCACAGAACCACTTGATCACACACCTCTTCGAGTGGTGGGAATTCTCCCTGGAAGCTGCAGAACTGCTTGGTATTGACCCCTCACTGCCACCTGGCAGGGTCTTGCATATCAGAGCAGCCCTCCCCAGCCCCTTGCTCAAAAAGCAGCTGAAAACCACATCACCATAAGAGACCAGAAAACCATCAAGCTTGTCTTCTTGCTGTAGCAATGAGAAAGCCAAGGCTCAGACTGGGGCATGTGGCTTGCTAAGGTCACTCACCTTAGGTCTGGATATCCCAGAAGCCAACCCTGAGATTTGACTGCAAGGAGTATATTAGGGCAGGTTAAATGGTGTCCCCCACCCCTAAAAGATGTGTCTATATGCAAATCCTTGGAACCTGTTAATGCTCTCTCATTTGGAGAGAGGATGTTTGCAGATGTTAACAAGGATCTTGAGATCATCATGGATCATCTGGGTGAGTCCTAAGTCCAATGATAAGTGTTCTTATAAGAGATAAAGGAGAAGACACAGAGGATAAGGGGACATGAAGGCAGAGGTGGGGACTGGAGTGCTGCAGCCACAGGTAAGAGATGCCAGGGATGGCCAGCAGCCACAGAAACTGGAAGAGAGAAGAAACAGATTCTCCTGAGAGCCTCTGGAGGGAAAGTTGCCCTGTCAACATATTGAGTCCAGGCGTCCAACCCCAGAACACTGAAAGAATACCTTCCTTGAGAGATGATCCAAGATGGCTGAATAGGAATAGCTCTGGAGTGCAGTTCCCAGCAAAACTGCAGAGGCCACTGCTGGTGATACCCAGGCAAGCAGGGTCTGGAGTGGAACTCCAGCAGTCCTACAGCAGAGAAGCCTGTTAGAAGGAAAACTAAAAAGCAGAAAGAAATAACTTCATCATCAACAAAAAGGACGTCCACTCAAAGACCATATCCAAAAGTTGCCAACTACAAAGACCACAGGTAGGTAAATCCACTAAGATGGGAAGAAACCAGAACAAAAATGAAGAAAACACCCCAAACCAGAATGCCTTTCCTACTCCAAGGGATCACAACTCATCAGCAAGCAAACAAGGCTGGATAGAGAATGAGTCTGATGAATTGACAGAAACGGGCTTCAGAAAGTCGATAATAACAAACTCCTCTGAGCTAAAAGAACATGTTCTAGCCCAGTGCAAAGAAACTAAGAATCTTGGAAAAAGGTTTGATGAAATGCTAATGAGAATAAACAGCTTAGAGAAGAATAGAAATGACTTGATGGAGCTGAAAAACACGACATGAGAACTTCATGGAGCATATACAAGTTTCAATAGCCGAATTGACCAAGCAGAAGAAAGGATATCAGAGATTGAAGATCAACTCAATGAAATAAAATGAGAAGGCAAGATTAGAGTAAAAAGAAATGAACAAAGCCTCCAAGAAATATGGGATTATGTGAAAAGACCTAATCTACATTTGATAGGTGTAACTGAATGTGATGGAGAGAACGAATCCAAGCCGGAAAACACTCTTCAGGATATTATCCAGGAGAACTTCCCCAAGGCAATATTCAAGTCCAGGAAATACAGAGAGCACCACAAAGATATTCCTCAAGGAGAGCAACCCCAAGGCAAATAGTCATCAGATTCACCAGGGTTGAAATGAAGGAGAAAATGCTAAGGGCAGCCAGAGAGAAAGTTTGGGTTACCCACAAAGGGAAGCCCATCAGACTCACAGAAGATCTCTCAGCAGAAACCCTACAAGCCAGAAGAGAGTGGGGGCCAATATTCAACATCCTTAAAGAAAAACACTTTCAACCTAGAATTTCATATCCAGCCAAACTAAGCTTTATAAACAAAGGAGAAATAAAATCCTTTATGAACAAGCAATTGCTCAGAGATTTCATCACCACCAGCCTGCCTTACAAGACCCCTGAAAGAAGCACTAAACATAGAAAGGAACAACCAATACCAGCCACTCCAAAAATATACCAAATGGTAAAGAGCATTGACACAATGAAGAAACTGCGTCAACTAATGGGCAAAACAACCAGCTAGCATCAAAATGGCAGGATTAAATTCATACATAAAAATATTAACCTTAAATGTAAATGGGCTAAATGCCCCAATCAAAAGACACAGACTGGCAAATTGGATAAAAAGTGAAAACCAATCAGTGTGCTGTATCCAGGAAACCATCTCACATGCAAGGACACACATAGGCTCAAAATAAAGGGATAGAGGAAGATTTGCCAAGCAAATGGAGAGAAAAAAAAAAAAAAAAAAAAAAAAAAAAAAAAAAAAAAAAAAAAAGCAGGAGTTACAATCCTAGTCTCTGATAAAATAGACTTTAAACCAACAAAGATCAAAAGAGACTAAGAAGGGCATTACATAATGGTAAAGGGATCAATGCAACAAGAAGAGCTAACAATCCTATATACACACCCAATACAGGAGCACCAGGATACATAAAGCAAGTTCTTAATGACTTAAAAAGAGAATTAGACTCCCACACAATAATAGTGGGAGACTTTAACATTCCACTGTCAATATTAGACAGATCAACAAGATAGAAAATTAACAGGGATATCCGGGACTTGAACTCAGCTCTGGACCAAGCAAACCTAATAAACATTTACAGAATTCTCCACCCCAAATACACAGAATATACATTCTTCTCAGCACCACATCACACCTACTCTAAAATTGACCACATAATAGGCAATAAATCACTCCTCAGCAAATGCAAAAGAACAGAAATGATAACAAACAGTCTCTCAGACCACAGTGCAATCAAATTAGAACTCAGGATTAAGAAACTAACTCAGAACTGCACAACTTCATGGAAACTGAACAGTTGGCTCTTGAATGTTGACTGGATAAACAATGAAATGAAGGCAGAAATAAAGCTGTTCTTTGAAACCAATGAGAAAGAAGATACAACATACCAGGATCTCTGGGACACATTTAAAGCAGTGTCTAGAAGGAAATTTATAGTAATAAATGCCCATAGGAGAAGCAAGGAAAGATCTAAAATTGACACCCCAACATCAAAATTGAAAGAGCTAGAGGAGCAAGACCAAAAAAACTCAAAAGCTAGCAGAAGACAAGAAATAACTAAGATCAGAGCAGAACTGAAGGAGATAGAGACACAAAAAAAACCTTCAAAAAATTAATAAATCCAGGAGCTGTTTTTTTTAAGATCAACAAAATAGACCACTAGCCAGATTTTAAAAAAAGAAAAGAGATCAAACAGATGCAATAAAAAACACTAAAGGGGATATCACCACAGATTCCACAGAAGCACAATCTGCCATCAGAGATTACTACAAGCAACTCTATGCACATAAACCAGTAAACCTGGAAGAAATGGATAAATTCCTGGACACTTGCATCCTTACAAGCCTAAACCATGAAGAAGTTGAAACCCTGAATAGACCAATAACAAGGGCTGAAGTTGAGGCAGCAATTAATAGCCTACAACCAAAAAAAGCCCAGGTCCAGATGGGTTCACAGCTGTATTCTACCAAACATACAAATAGGAGCTGGTACCATTCTTTCTGAAACTATTCCAAACAATCCAAAAAGAGGGAATGCTTCCCAAATCATTTTATGAGACCAACATCATTCTGATACGAAAACCCGGCAGAAATCAACAGGAAAAGAAAACTTCAGACCAATATCCATGATTAACATAGATGCAAAAATCTTCAATAAAATACTGGCAAACCAATTGCAACACCACATCAAAAAGCTTATCCACCATGATCAAGCAGCCTTCACCCAGGGGATGCAAGGCTAGTTCAACATACGCAAGTCTACAAATGTAATTCAACACATAAACAGAACCAAAGACAAAAGCCACATTATTTATCTCAATAGATGCAGAGAAGTCCTCTGACAAAATTCAACAGCCATTTATGCTAAAAATTCTCAATAAACTAGGTATTGACGGAACATATCTCAAAATAATAAAAGCTATTTACGACAAACCCACAGTCAATATCATACTGAATGGACAAAAAGTGGAAGCATTCCCTTTGAAATCTGGCACTAGATAAGGATGCCCTCCCTCACCACTCCTATTTAATATAGTATTGGAAGTTCTAGCCAGAGCAATCAGGCAAGAAAAAAAAAGGTATTCAATTAGAAAAGGAGGAAGTCAAGTTGTCTCTATTTGCAGACAATATTATTTTATATTTAGAAGACCTCATAGTCTCAGACCAAAATCTCCGGAAACTGATAAGCAACATCAGCAAAGTCTCAGGATACAAAATCAATGTGCAAAAATCACAAGCATCCCTATACATCAATAACAGACTTAAAGAGAGCCAAATCAAGAACTAGCTGCCATTCACAATTGCTACAAAGAGAATAAAATATCTAGGAACACAACTAACAAAGGATGTAAAAGACCTCTTCAAGGAGAACTACAAACCACTGCTCAACGAAATAAGAGAGGACACAAACAGATGGAAAAACATTCCATGCTTATGGAAGAATCAATATTGTAAAAATGGCCATACTGCCCAAGGTAATTTATAGATTCAATGCTATCTCCACCAAGCTACCTATGACCCTCTTCACAGAACTGGAAAAAAACACCTTAAACTTCATATGGAACAAAAATAGAGCCCCCATAGCAAAGACAATTCTAAGCAAAAACAACAAAGCTGGAGGCATCATGCTACCTGACTTCAAACTATACTACAAGGCTATAGCAATCAAAACAGCATGGTGCTGGTACCAAAACAGAGATATAGACCA